TATTCTTGAGACATTTACATTGATTTAATTTGCCATTCAGCTATTGAATAAGATCCGTTAAAGTCCACCCCACATAATAGCCAGCTTCCTTGGCAATTCTGTCTTCAGGGCTGCAAGCATCCATCTCATCACAAAAGCCACAAGAAAGGGATTAAATCATTCACCAAAGAACTTCACTGTGGAGGGGGATTTTTAACGGCTCAAAGGTGACAAGGCAGGTGACCAATTTAAATGCCTTTAGATCACATGTTCGTCCTCCCAGGTTGTATAATAGCTGTATCAAAAGAATGTTTGCCAGCTTTCCATGACATCAAATGAAGGCTTATCTGCAATAATATCCATTGATTTATCATCTACTGGACCCCAATGGTTAATAATAAAAAAGAAGAAGTATAGCTGGACAGGTTAAAGAGAAAATAATTCATATTCTCACCAGCAATCCACAGTTGGAGAATATTAAATACAGCAATACTCCAGAGGAAGAACAAATGATTGGCACACAGATATGAATGATATAAAACTGGCACATTTAATAGTTTCTTTTCCTTCTCCATCTCTCTTTGTCATGCAGCGCACCCCTTTTCCAAGCAAAGGTTCATTTTCTAATACATCAGTTAGTAAATTCCTTTTTTAAAAAAAAAAAAAAGGGAAAGCAATTGCATATTATGCATAGTCAGAACCTGCTGAACTAGTATTCAGTAGGTTCTGACCAGTTCTGGAGGACCAGTTCTGGTAACAGAAATTTTGAGTAGTTTGGTAAATACAACCTCTGATTGGCCCCGTCCCTATCTATTCTTTGCCTCCCGAGTCCGAACTGATCAGGAGGGAATGGGGATTTTGCAGTAACCTTCCCCTGGAGTGGGGAGGGAATGGAGATTTTACAATATCCTTCCCCTGCCAGGCCCACCAAGCCACGCCATGTCTACCAAGCCATGCCCATAGAACCAGTAGTAATATTTTTTGAATCCCACCACTGATATTATGTGTATCTTTTTCTGTGAGTAAAAATTAACCTATGTTTTTGGAAGCACCATTCCTGAATCTTTGCCACAATTCCCCCCCCCCCTTAATATTTATTCTTCTGTGTAATTTTTTTTTAATTCATTGATGACTAAATTTAGGAAATTATGTCATGGAATATCAATGTGGTTGATGATGAAGTTAATATTTTCTTCCCATTGAAGTTTAAGATGAATTTATGCAGTTTATACCACTATTGCTAAAGTACATCCAGAGTGAAGTTTGAGATGTTTCCAAGGCAAAACCCAAATATATCCAAATGTTTTTGTAGCAACAAAAAATGAATGTTGAGAAAACGGAACATAAAACCCTGGAAAGCATGGGAAAGGTGCTGGGAATGATTGGGGGCAAAAGAAGAAGGGGACGACAGAGAATGAGGTGGCTGGATGGAGTCAGTGAAGCAGTTGGCTTGAGCTTAAATGGACTCCAAAGGATTGAAGAGGATAGGAAGCCTGGAGGAATTTTGTCCATGGGATTGTGATGGATTGGACACGCAACTAACAGAAAGTGTTTTTTTAGTACATGGGTCACTTAATCATGGATAAAGGGTTGGATCTTGTGCTGCAACAGTACAATATTGCTTTTGTCATTTTGATTCTGCCCGTTTCCCTGACTGACATCCTCCTTTACCCAGATGTTTTAAAGCAACACACGTTACTTTTTAGACTGCCTTTTCCAAAGAACTTAAGTTTGGCACTTTCAGAATTTTGTTCTGACTTGTTTTTACTTTATGGGTGATTGCTTTATTACTGATTTATTTTTTGCAGGAGGCTTTTTTATATTAAACTGTTCCTTTTTGTATACTATTCAGGATTTCTTTGAGCAGAACAGAAAAATCAGCCTTCATCATCAATAATCTTTTTCAGATATTACAAGCAGGAAAAGAAATGTTAGCAGCTGTGGTCATGTGGCTGGCATGACTCAATGCCACACAGAACCATGTTACCTTCCCACCAAAGGTGGTCCCTATTTTTCTACTTGCATTTTTGCATGCTTTTGAACTTCTAGGTTGGCAGAAGCTGGGAGCTCACTCTGCTAGGCAGCTCTGGGGATTCAAACCACTGAACTGCTGACCTTTCTGATTGATAAGCTCAGTGTCTTAGCCACTGAGCCATTGTGTCCCTGCTGTTGCCTCTACTCTCCAATAATTTATTATTTACCCAAAGTGAAAATATTATATAATAATTCAGCTACCAGCAAGCTGATTTAATGAGTAAGTTTGAATGTATGTATTTCAAAATCTATTAAATGGGAGATAATGATTACTTTCAAAAAATTGCAAACAAGCCTTGGCATTGCTTCCCAAGAAAAAAAGGTTATTTACTTAATGCAATGTCATCAAGTCATACAAAAATAGCATCATATCTATTTAAAGATAAAGTGTTCCTATGCTGCATTTGGTAACTGAATTTAGAGGGGCAGGAAGTTTCAGAAAAGAAAACTGATTGGAGGGGAGAGTTAAGGATTATTTAGCATGCCTAAGATTGAAAAATGGAAGGCTTTGTTGCTTTCACACAGTTATGAGTTACATTATTGCCATTTTTAATGGCACTTTGAATAATTAAAGAAAGGAGAGGGTCCAATCCATGTTTGATGAAAAAAAGCCCGTAGTAGAGCATGAATACACATGACTGTCCTATCCTTTTTTTGCCAAGATCTTTGATCTCTCCAGATAATTGGTTCGGTTACTGAGGTGGCCTTATCCTACATTTCTTCTAAAGTTTAAATGAAATCTATGCCCTCTCTAACATACAATTACTAGGTGTAAACCCATTTGTTGAAAACAAGATCTTTGGTTTTATAGGTAGCATTGATTCAGCATCAATGAAAAATTCTGTTATTTCTTCCACCACTCTTGTTTCCTCCTGCATCAATATACTAAAATCTTTAATTTTTCATTGTGGGTTGTTTCCTGAGTAGATCCTTTATGGAACTGCAATAATGTGTTACTAAAGCATAGTAGGAAGGACTCACTGGAGAAGGGCCGAATGCTGGGAAAGATTGAGAGCAAAAGAAGGGGACAACAGACAATGAGGTGCATGGATGGAGTTACCGAAGCAGTGGGCATGAACTTAAATGGACTCCAGAGACTGGTAGAGGACAGGAAGGCCTGGAGGAATGTTGTCCATGGGGTCGCGATGGGTTGGACACGACTTTGCAAGTAATAACAACAATAAAGCATAATATCCAAAATTATCCACAACACAGGTGTTCTCAAGTATTCCCAAGAATCTGAATGTACTCTGAAGACCTCAAATGATGGTTCTGCAGACTTAAACTACATTACTACACGGTTCTATCATACTGTCATTCATAGTCAACAAAACTATTGATATAACCTTAAAGTCTGTCTGAATCTCCTCCTTTGACATGGACATTAGTGAGCTCTGAGAAAACCATTGATTGTGAATAGTAGTTAAACTTTTTGAACACTTAACTACAGTTCTCTTCCCTACCCCAAGCCTGATGTTGCTATTAACAGAGGTCGAGCTTGAGAATAAATATATCATTAGGGGACAAGCAAGCCACTATACAGGCAAGCCACTAGAACAGGGGTGTCAAACTCAAGGCCCACGGGCCAGATCTGGCCCTCAATGTCCAGTGGATTCATCCTGGTCTACCCAATGTGAAGAGGAAAGATAAGGCCAGCGTGGCTTCAGCCTGGTCTCCCAATGAGAAGATGAAACATGCCATCAATTTAGGGAATGATATCAAGCTGGACACCACCCAATTGGCCACGCCTACCCAGTGAAGCACAGCTCTCTTCCCTCCCCCCCAAAGTCCACTACAGCGCTGATGTGGCTCTCAATGAAACGGAGTTTGACACCCGTGCACTAGAATATAAACTGACAGCAAACAGCACTTCTTAATAGCACTGATGATGTTACCTAGTTTGCGTAATGAAATGTCTGCAAAAAAACAAGCAAGCTCAGTAAACACCAAGGATCCCTCATGTCAACCCTGAGCTACAAATATTCTCCTTTATTAGTAGGGGACATTTAAAGGCTTTTCAAATCTTGAATAAATTGTGGTTTCAGAAAGGCTTTTCAGTTTGGTCTGCAATTTTACCTGGCCATTTCCATTTTAATTTTCTTTGCAAACTATTTTCAAATAGTTCCAGAAAAATGAATCTAAGAAAAAAAGAATCTATCCAGAAACTTTATCTTAGCTCCAGTTTCATTTCTTTAAACATATGTAGTATCTATTGAAGGTTGGAAGAGGCAAATAAATCAAAACCCAAACTACAGGAAACTGTTCCTATTCTGAAATTGATGTTTATTATCATTAAGACAGAATTCCGAAGGAGTGTACAGCAGCAAAATGTACAACTGGAAATAATTTCACTCCTTGTTAAATGTGAAGTCAATATTTGTCCGTGAAGAAATATGCCATAATGTATACAAATAATCACTGTTATATCAAAAAGAGCAACAAATATACTAAAATATAAAAATCTCCTGAAATATTTTGCTGTGAAATAATCATTGTGTCTATAATTTGTTGTTTTCCAATGTATCATATATATCTTTATAGCTCTATATTTCCCTATGTCTGACTTTAATTCTCTCTCTCTCTCTCTCTCTCTCTCTCTCTCCCTCCATCCCTCCCTCCCTCCCTCCGTCTGTCTCTCTTTTTCTCTCTCTCTCTTATATACAAACATTATCCATCCATTGATCAGGAACCCACCACTGATGTATACATTTATCTATCTATCTATCATCTATCTATATCTATATCTATCTATCTATCTATCTATCTATCTATCTATCTATCTATCTATCTATCTATCATCATCATCTCATCAAGATACTTTGAAAACAAACATTGACCATGTCATAAAAATTAAAACAGAGAAAGACATTAAAAATATTAGCAAAACGAAGCAATGAGCATAGTAAAAGGTACAACCTCCAATTTCCCCCCACATTACTGTTAATATTATTATAAAAGATGCGGTATAAATAAAGAAATATATTTACCTTCATTTTCCTTAATTGTAAAATTAGGGTTGTTGGCCATTTCAGATGGAAGGTTATAAACAAAATAGTGTCCATTTTTGGGATCATCCTTGTCAATTACTCTCATGGTATGAATGACCTAAAACAGAAAAACAAATACATTTACACGTAAATCTGATATGTTCAGCATAATATTGGCTAGAAACTTTTGTTTTTTTGTGTGCAGTAAGAGGAATACAAGACAATTCATCTCCTCTAATGTCAGAACTTTCTCTTATTAACATTCAAGGGATATAACATTGTCCTAGGGATCAAGGGATTTTTTTCCCCTAAGAAAATGTGTTAAATGTTAATATGGGAGAGTCACAATAATTCTTTCTGGGATAAAAAAATTTACTCTAAGGAGTTATATTTTCAAACTTTGGAGAATGATGGAGACAGGAAATAGTGATACTAATTGGTCTTGATTTCAGTGGTGAGATACATGCAAATGCTTAATTATCCTATGGACTTAAATGGTTCTCAGTTTTACTGTTTGACTTCAAAGTAATTCCTTTTGATACAAATAGAACTTTTTAAAGTGTTTTTAAGACTATACTTAGGATGTGTAATTTGAGCTACAGTATATTACGTTGCATATTAGAATATATTTAGTTAAATTCTCTAATGCTCTCTTCCTGCTCAGAGACTAAGCATTTATCAATTTTTGTCCATGCTAAATTAGCACAGAAAAATGAGGAATATACATTTCCCATCAATTACACCACTGTGAATATTTAACCTGCAGATTTTGTGTGTCTACAAAAATATCATAGACTGTTTTACCCTGCCAACACTTTAATCCCATTGCTTATAACACTTATGTGTGGATCAGCAAAAACATAAAGAACAAAGATGGCTGTGCGTTTTCCAGTATAGTTATGGTAAATTTGTCATGCACACTTTGCAATAATATGCAATCACATACAGAAAGGGAAAATAAAACAAAACAAACAAAAATAGCTCAACGTGACTTGGATGCAGCAGTAAGTGAAATTTTGTTTGTTAAGCCTAACATCACTTGATATGGACTTATTCCAGATATAGAAAAATGAAAACTGTATTCAATAATTTCATTGTTTAACACTTATTTTAGCTGTCGTTAGATTTTTAACTGCATTTTATATTGGCTTTATTCTGGTTTCTTAGGAATTGTAGCTGTCAAAATCTCACAAGATTACTAAATTGCAAGCTTTTGTCATTCTTATCCAAAGTCTGTTATTAGTTTAGGTGAGAAAACCAAACATTGGTTGATTTCATGTTATTTGGGCCATGTAAAAACATACAGAAGCTGTTTAATAGCAATAGCAATAGCAGTTAGACTTATATACTGCTTCATAGGGCTTTCAGCCCTCTCTAAGCGGTTTACAGAGTCAGCATATTGCCCCCAACAACAATTCGGGTCCTCATGGACAGGTTATGCTTCAACCACAATAATAGATGAGC